GAACTTGATTGCCTGATCAGCGAATGCAGTAAAGTAACTGGTCCCACTTGCAGCGGTAAAGTTGATTGGCAATTCAATGATTTACTGGAAATACTCTCTCCAGTGAGCAGCGGGTTGCCTGATAGGCAATTAAATGATTCACCGGAAATTGTCCCTGCTAGCAGCAAACCGCCTGATTGGCTGTTCACCATGTACGCTTCTGCATGTCTCAAAACCTCCCCCACTTCTCGCACGCTGCCCAAAGCAAGTCCCCTTGTCTCTCTCCCTCTCTCTCACTCTCGCAGTCTCTCACTCCCACTGTGCAGTCTACTTCTCTCTCACTCTCCCTCTCTCACGCGCACACACACACAGTCTCAGGATAGCTCATTCACTCCCTTCACTTTCCGGTGGTTCCAAAATTCGAATGCACTCGGAGTCTTGGACTCATTTCACGGTCAGGTGCGTGATCTTGATAAGTAAAGAAGCAGACTGTCACCTCTTGCATGTTTCCCTCTCTCACTCTCATTCTCTCGCTGACCCTCTCTCTCACTGTCCATCTTGCATCCACTTTTTCACTCGCCCAACAGCTGATTTTCACTATCACCGTCTGAGACGTTTTTGGCCGTGTTGAGGGTAGATGCAAATAATAAGATAATAATAATAATAATAATAATAATAATAATAATAATAATAATAATAATAATAATGACGAGCACTCACCGTCTTCTCGACTTCTCTTCTCTCACACGTACTATCCTCGGCACTCTGTCCACAACTCTCCCACTCTATCTTCCTTTCTCTCTCTCTCAGTGCCTCTCCCACTTGCTTGTTAACTCTCTTCTCTCTCACTCTCTTCACTCTCTCTTTCGCTCTGACTCCCGTTGCCACACGGTCGTCCCCCCCCTTTTTCTCTCACTCACACACTCACACGAATACTCACCATAGGTGCCTCCTCCGTGTTGATCGATGCAGGCAGAGAGTTCTCACGTCGGCCATGACCGCCTCAAGAGCAGCCACGGGATGCCATAGTTCAGCTCGCTCTGTCACTGCACACACCTCGCCACCTCCATCCCTTCCTTCAATCGGATCATGTGCTAGCGCGCTGCGCTCGCCTGGTACGCAGTCCCTTCCCCCTGTCAACAACATGTCCCCGTACACCCCTCGCACGGAGTAACCGCCGGAGCGCCGATTCTGCCCGTGCTTGCTCCCATTGCTTGTTCGTCTCCAGTCAACTTCCGGGATGCTGGGTACGCCTGGCACGCATCTTCCAAAAAAAAACCCTCCTTTGGTACCCGTTTACTTCCCCTATATCCACTGTCTGTGGCCAACTGCCCTGCTTCCACTCGGTCCGCGTCGCAGTCCCTACAGCCCCAATGCACCAGGCCCAGAGAATTTATTGCCCTCGTCAATCCAGGCCCGGTTATGGCGCCCTGGTCAATTGCGGTAGCTGTTCCAACTGCAAACCAGTGACCAATTTCTAAACCCAGCAGGTCCGTGCCATGGCCTGCCGTCCCAGGACTGTGTAAGTAGCCAACTGGTGCCCATTCCACGGTCGACGTACTGAATCGCAGCCAGAATCTGCGCAACGTCACAGGCAACGTGCCTGCACCTTTTTCTGTCTCCGGACCCCAAAAAGAACAGCGCAGGCTGTAGTACTCTGTTTCAGTGTTGTGCCACTATCAATGCAGCGAACTGTGAACTGCAGCAGCCCCGAAACAAATCAGAGCGCCGGACCATCAAATACCAAAGTCGAATAGTCCAATACTGTTCCAGTTTGTGTCGATGCCGAGCCAATAGTTGTGCCAATCTGCATTAGCGCCCATGCCAATGCCGTCGCGATAATAGTTCCATACCAGTTCCGTTCCAGCAAGCGTTCCAATGCCGGTTCCGAGGAAACGCTCTGATTTACCGCCGCCTGCACTATTATCATACCGCTCGGTGTCGGGTGCCGTACCGTGCAACAATGCGTTGTAATAATAGCGAGCGTGTCCCGAACCAGAGTACCGTGCCCGAATCGACCCAGCGGTAACACCCAAGCAATGAAGCCCAGGCAAAATAGTACCGGTGGTAATCCCGCGCCAGGCATCCATCCCACACTCACTCACAACACCCGGATTGGAACAATGTGGCGCACCCCTCGTGAATAACCAAGTAAAAATTAGTTAATTATC